TCCCTAAGGGTAAATACTTCTTAGTCAATTAAAAATGAAAGCAAATTGATTTCTTTTTGATAGAGAATTTTTTTTGTTTTAATTTGATGACAGTCCTTGGGTAATTCGAGAAACTCTGGAAAACTGCAAAGCCAAGCTGATGGGCCACTTATTGAAGGATAAGTGCACAGTTTTCAAAGTTATATGAACAGAGACAGGTCAGGTTTTTAAATTTTTAATATCTAACATTATCTGTGGACACAAAAATTCTTTTGGAAGAACTTTTCCTTTTTTCCTAAGCTACTCAGACATAAACAACAGAGCTCAGTGCTGACTCTGCCCTCCTACCAGTCTCTCCTAGGTCCTGTCTCAGAGCATCGAGTAATAGCTGTTTAGAAGACACTGTTCTAGAAGAACAGGCCTCATTTTTGACACACACAGTCTCCAGTGAGAAGCCCATGGGATGGGAGGAGGGGTGTCACATCCCCAAGGGCCTATTAGATGCTTTAAACACAATTTGGCTGGTGATTTTTAGCCTGCCAGCTCAGAAATATACTGGCCACATAGCATCAAGAAAGCAAGCTAATTCTGAGAGAGTTGGTGACAAAATTGACAAGAAAGTAAAGGAAGAAACAACCAAGAATTATAAGTAGCCTGGCACCTGGATTCAGGGAGGGCAAGAATCAAGGGGTAAGTGCCACACTGGGGGTGGTGGGAGGATCCCAAACAGGAAGGTGCGGTGTTGTTCCTCATTTCCCACAGGTTTCCAGAGAAAGAAGCTGCTTCCTAGTTCCCTCTGAACTTCCTTTGAATTATTATCACACACACAACCTCCTCCACCGTCCACCCACCTCTACTCCCCACAAAACCTTTTTTTTAAAGCTCTTCCTTTCAAGGCTTCCCCATTAATTAGATTTCTTTGTACTTCCTGATGGTTTTGTTTAAATCAACCTACCTATTGAGAAAGACTTTGCAACTGCAACAAAGTATTTAATGACCAGTTGTTAAGGCTGGGTCAGCAGAATTTTTATTTTCCCTTTCTTGCCTTTTCAACATTATTTGCAATAAAAGAAAGGGTCTGGAGCCATGTTTTAAATGACTTATTTGATAAATTATGTTTGTACTGTTAATGATGAAGGTTTTTTAAAAGCTGTTTGTATAATTCTGTAGCAGATATGAAATATTTTTATATAAACACCATGTACAGCATGCATCGTTGATCAATGGCCTGCACTTGTTTTTCAATAAAATTGTTGAACTTTATATTGAATCTTCTCCTTGAAAATTGGTTTCTTTGCTGGCATCTGCACAGCTTCTCTGTACATCCCCAAGCCTGATGTGGGGTGAGGGTACCTTCTGTATAGTTCCTCTGGGAGGAGGAAGGTGGAGAAGGACAAGGGAACTGAAATCAGAGGCCAGTGGCCAAACAACGGCTCTGACTCCCGCTGTGTCATCTCAAGTGTACTCCATCTATTTGCCTCTAAAGTGGATCAAGGTGTGAGTCTTCCTGTTATTACCTCTACCGTTGCTATGGTTTGAATAATGGTTTTGTCCCCTCAGCAGTTAACGTAATGACTATGTCTCTGGACTCCCATGTAGTCGACCGTGGTTCGAATCCCAGACCCGGTGGCTTAAACTCACGCCAAGCTCGTTTGTGTGTGCGTGCCCAAGATCCTGAGAGGAGAATGGAGGAGAAGGGACTGCGGCATGGCCATCCCCCCTGAGGGGATGTGTATGTAATTTCTCGCTTTCTGTCTCTGTCTTTCCAGCGAGCGCATGCACCTTACAGCAAAAACTTCTTAAAAAAAAAAAAAAAGAATTAAATAAAATAAGGGTTTGGTCCCCAAAGATTCATGTTTCAGAATTTGTTCCCCCCTGTAATGTTGGCGTGAGAGGGTGAGATCTTTAAGAGATGAGGCCTAGTGGGCGGTGATAGGATCACGGGAGACATTCATGAGTGGATTGATAGTGTCTTGTGAGAATTATCTTCTAACTTGTAAGACAGGTTATTAGATTGTCATGATGCATTTTTGTGTAGAAAAAAAGAAAAATACGTCATGACTTTACTGATGACCTAATAGTTCCAGAGCAGATTGCTGTAAATAGAAAACAGCTTCCCCTAGATCTCCACCTCTGCACGTGTCTACCACCCTCTCTGCTTCTGTTGGCCATGTTGTGACATAGCTGGCCTGAGCCCCGCTTCATACCTTTGGACTTCCTAGCCACTGCAATCATGAGTCAAATAAAACTCTATGCATTATAAATCACCCTATTTTAGGTATTTTTGTAAGCGAGACAGCTGTGGTAATGGCAACCTTTGTGTAGACATTTATAAAAGGCTTTTGTTTATTTTCTCATTTGACCCAGGAAGTGGACAAGTTTGGCAAGAGTGTCTCAAATGCATGCTTTAAAGGTTAGAGTAAACTCTACTGCTCAAAGTGCCCTTCATGCCTTATCAGTAGTTCTCTGTTCTTACCTCATGCCAATTCTCAGAGGCAGCCAGTTCTGTCAGTACTTGGGGAGAAGGGGGACGTTCAGGTCAGCTCAGGATCTGAGACAGTTGATTCTAAGAGCTGCCTTAACCATCTAACCATTGTGAAACCTCAGACCAAGTTGTGTAAGGACGAAAGATTAAACGCAAGGGGACTTCAAAATGTTTGCGGGAAAATGATATTAAAGTACGAGTATATTGTGATGCAAAAAACTGAAATCCACATATAATACACATTTTCTCAGAACTTTTTGAAGACCCTCACATGTATTATGACAAACACAATGCCAAGAACATAGTATGTCCTCAGGAAATGGTACCTGTGGTAGTAGCAATTATTTGAATAAACTGGGTCATCTCAAGTCCTATTACAATCTGCAAATAGACTGGAAACAGTGTGTGACCGTGTCCAAGACTCCATGAGAAGAATGGAGGAGAAGGGATTATGGCTTGGCCATCCCCCCTTCTGGGTGATTTCTCGCTTCCTGTCTTTCTGTTTCTCTCTATATTTCTGGCCAATGCACACATACTATAGCAAACACCTCTCAAAATTAAAAAAAAAAAAAAAAAAAGAAAGAAAAAGAAAAAGAAAAATGGATTTCCTTGACCAAAAATGAAGATTACCAGCTGAGAATTTTCCCTCCAGGCTCATTTCTAGTGGGCAGAGATAGCTCTGTGTCTCTTTCTCTCTATTTCTGCCTGTTTCTCTCTATCTTGTTGTGACACCCTGTGACTTTTAATTAAAAAAAAATTTTTTTTTAAGGTAAAGTATTCTCTTTACTCTCAAGCCTCTATTATGTTAATTGGTGCACTTCCTAGTTCATTTATGAAAGGTACCAGAGAAGTCAGGCCTATGCTAATATGGATACCATAATTTAGCTGTGAAATATTAATTTCTGGGACCAGCAGTTGGTGTAATGGCTATGTCCTTGGACTCCCATGTAGTCAACTGCAGTTCAAGTCTCAGGCCTGGCGGCTTAAACTCACACCTGATGCTTGTGTGTCCATGTTCAAGATCCCGTAAGGAGAATAAAGGAGAAGGGATTGCAGCTTAGCCATCTTCCCTGGGGATATTAAGGGATGTTTCTTCTACTCCAGTTTTGCTGACAGTCTGGATGAAGGATGCTATATTTTATCAAATGCTTTCTCTGTATCTATATATATGATAATATGATTTTTAAAATCTTTCTTTCTGTTAATATGGTGTGTTGCATTTATCATTTCATATATGTTGAACTATCCTTGCATCCCTAGGATAAAGTGTACCTGGTCATGGTGTATAATCTTCTTGATATGTTGTTGGATTAGGTTTATTAGTATCTTGTTGAAAATTTTTTTATCATATTAATCATTGATATTGGTCCGCAGTTTTCTTTCTTCCTTTTTTTTTTTTCCTATGTTCTTGTCTGGTTTTGATTTAAAGTAATAGAGGGTTCACAAAATGAGTTTGGGAGGATTCATATTCTGTTGAAACATTAGAAATAGTTTGAGAAGAATTGGGGTTAACAATTCTAAGAAGTTTTGTAAAACGCAGACGTGAAGTCATTTGGCCTATACTTTTTTTTCTTGGGCAACTATTTTTCACTTCTTCAATCTCTTCACTTGTTATTGATCGATTCAGGCTTTCCAGTTCATCCTGGCTCAACCTAGGTAGCTTGTACTCATCTAGAAATTTGTCCATCTCATCAGTATTTTCTAGTTTGTTGACCTATAGTTGCTCATAATATTCTCTTATAATTTTTTGTATTTCAAACACATCAGTTCTAATATTGCCACCTTCATTACTGATTTTATCTAGCTGGTTCCTTTCTCTATTTTTCTTAATTACTCTAGCTCATGGCTAATCAACTTTATCCTCTCAAAAAAAAAAAAGCTTATTTATTTTTTGTGTAATTCTTTTATTTTCTATTTTATTTATTTCAGTTCAAATATTTACTGTTTCTTTTGTTTTTAACTTTTTAGTGCTTTTTGTTGTTCTAATTCCTTTGATGCAATATTAAGCTATCTGCCACTTTTCTATTTTTTTTCTCTTTCGAGTACTAACGGTTATAAACTTTTTTC